TACGGCAAATCCTGGCAACCAACCCTAAGGGGCTGAAAGGGGGTATCAAAGAAAAGGGGGTAGGTAAAAAAGTCAGAATAAAATATTTTTTTTATGAATCCCTAAGGGGTAACTCGTCAAAGTAGAGCCCTGTGGGCGAAAATTTTGTCCGTTTTGCTCTATCTCTAACCGTTTAGGCGCTAGAGGGAGTTTCTATCACGAAAGTGGCCCAAAACTAAACATATTAATTTTAGAAAATATTAGATGGTCTCCTAAGGGGTAACTTGCAAAAGTAGAGCCCTCCGGGCGAAAATTTCGTCCGTTTTGATCTATCTTTTACCGTTTGGGCGCTAGAGGGAGTTTCTCCCACAAGAGTGGCCCAAAAATAAATTTATTAATTTCTGAAAATATTGAATGGTCTTCTAAGGGGTAACTCGTCAAAGTAGAGCCCTTTGGGCGTAAATTTCGTCCGTTTGGCGCCAGAGGGCGTTTTTCACACGGAAATGATTGCAAAACATTTTAATGTTAACTCTCAACTCTCAGATATTTGATTGTGACCAACGTACATCTACCTAGTTTAGTGATCTAGGTAGATGTATGCCAGACCACGTCTCGCGTAACAGGCTTCGCGATATCTCACGAAACACTGTCACACTGCGACGCGCCTGGCATACATCTACCTAGGCCCGCGGCGCTGACACCCGAGTCGGGCAAAAGGCAGAGTCGTAGATAGGCCCTTGGCTCCAAAGGACACAACTTTTACCCACAGGATTTTATTTTAACGAGTTGCCTCACCAGAGGCCATCAAATATCTGAGAAACAACATTAAAATGGTTTGGGGTCATTTTCGTGTGGAAATCGCCCTCTGGCGACCTAACGTTTAGAGACAGAGCCAAACGGACAAAATTTTGGCCCGTAGGGTTCTACTTTGACGAGTTACGTCTTAGAAAGGTGCAAAAAAATTAATATTTTTTAAAAGTAATATTTAGGGTTTTATGTTTTTGATTTTGTTGACCGATCAATTTTTAAGCTAGAGGGCTCAAAATCAATACAGTTCTTGCTTTTTAAGATACAAAGTTACATTAAAAATTTGAGCCTTCTAGCTCAAACCGTTCTCGAGTTATCGTGCTTACAGACAGACAAACAAACAGACAGACGCGAAACTTTTTGATCATCAGTGGAGTAATTGGCTAAACAATAGCGAAGCCAATTACTCCACTGATGATCAAAAAGTTTCGCGTCTGTTTGTCTGTCTGTGTGTTTGTCTGTACGCACGATAACTCGAGAACAATTTGAGCCACCTGGGATTTTCAGGGTCGTGTTGTATCATAAAAAGACAGATCTAGTTCGAAGAAGAGCATTCTAGCTCAAAAATTGGATTTAAAAAAAATCAAAAACCACAGGTCCCCCAAATAATGTTTTATAAAAATATTTTTTTACAGTCTCCTAAGGGGTAACTCATCAAAGTAGAGCCCTATGAGCAAAAATTTTCTCCGGTTTGCTCTAGCTCAAACCGTTGAGGTGTTAGAGGGTGTTTTTCACGAAAATAAGCGAAAAGATGTACAACCCTGCATGCTTAGTCAAAGTGAAGGGCCGTTGACGGGGGCCGGAGACCCGTATCTTTGTGTACACTTTTGCACTACCCGACTCGGGTGTCAGCGCCGCAGGCCTAGCTATATGTGGGCCAGGCGCGTCGCAGCGTAACAGTGTTTCGTGAGATATCGCGAAGCCTGTTACGCGAGACGTGGTCTGGCGTACATATAGCTAGATTAAAAATCCAATCTTTGAGCTAGGATGCTCTTCTTCGAACTTGATCTGTCTTTTTATAACACCAAACGCCCCTGAAAATCCCAGGTCGCTTGCTCAATTCGTTTCGAGTTATCGTGATGACAGACAGACTGACAGACGCGAAACTTTTTGATCATCACTGGAGTAATTGGCTGAGCGATTAGCGAAGCCCATTACTCCACTGACCGGAAAAGTTTCATTCTGTTTGTCTGTTTGTCTGTCTGTCTGTCTGTCCGTCTGTCCGCACGATAACTCGAGAAAGAATTGAGATAGCGACCTGGGATTTTCAGGGTCGTTTTGTATCATAAAAAGACAGATCGAGTTCGAAGATGAGCAT